ATGGAGGTGGTGAGCACTTCCCATGGCGCGTTGGGTCCCCTGCTGGGGAAGCTCACGGCTCTGCTCGCCGATGAGTGTGGCCGTCTCAAAGGCGTCTGCCGTGAGATTCGCTCGCTCAAATCTGAGCTGACTAGCATGCAAGCGGCGGTTCAGAAGTACTCCACGTTGCAAGATCCCGATGTCCAGGCGAAAGCATGGATATCGCTGGTGAGGGAGCTTGCCTATGACACCGAGGATGTCATCGACAAGTTCATCCACCAGCTCGGTGATGGCAGCCACCAAAGTCAGAGTGGCTTCAAGGAGTTCTTCCGCAAGACTATTCGTGGTCTCAAGACGCTCGGGTCTCGCCGTGGAATCGCCAGCCAAATCGGCGACCTGAAGGTACGTGTCAAGGAGGTGAAAGAGCTCAAGAATAGTTACAAGCTGGACGATACTGCTCGTATCACCGATACTGCACGTAGCACCTATGAGCATTCAACCGTGGATCCCCGGTTGTCTGCTCTTTTTGTAGAGGAGACACATCTTGTGGGCATTGATGGTCCAAGAGACCATCTCGTCACTTGGATGATGGAAGAAGAAAATAGTTCGGCCAAGCATCGCAGGGTGCTATCTATTGTTGAGTTCAGTGGGTTGGGAAAGACGGCATTGGCAAAGGAAGTCTGTCACAAGATCCAGGGGCATTTTGATTGTCATGCTTTTGTCTGTCTCACAGCAGCCGAATGTAAAGAAATTATGAAGGGTGTGATCTCTCAAGTGCCTTGCGAGAAAGATTTTATAGAAGATAACGACATTTGGGATGAAAAGAAATTTATTGGGAAGCTTAGAGAACTGTTACAAGATAAGAGGTAATTTCAAGCCCTTTTTTCTAGAAAAGGAGGATTTATTATTTTTATTACTTTTTTGTAATGTACAAAAATATACCACAGATCTTGTAAATATGAGAAACATATAATAGTTGTCTAACCGGAAATATTTTGTGTAATAGACTAACTTATTTATAATATTTCCTAATACAATAGTTATGTTTTATTTTACCTAAATAGTGTACTAGTCATACATTGTATAGAAATCAAAATTTTCAGTTTTAGCAAATTTACCTTTTTTAATGTATTAAACAAGACAAAACATAGCTGTATTTTCTGCACTGTCATATTAGCTCGTGTATTCAATTACCACAAATCACTAGTGGTAGATGTGATTTACTGTAAAATGTTCATGATTTTTGGATATATATAAAACATTTTAAATAAATAAAACATCATGTATAATTTTGTGTTATTCAGCCACACACATGTAACATAACATGCAGTTTTATTTTTTTCATCTATAATCTAAACATCATTTACCTAACAAAACTGGTTTCGCCATTTTAGAATTTTTTGTTTTTTGCTTTAATTTTCGTATATTCATAGAGCATCCATAGAAGGGAATGTCGCAGAAATTGACGTGCAAACTCATTTTTGTAAGATTCATAGCTATCAATTTCATATGAATTTTTCAAAAATAAGTTTGCATCTTAACTTTTAAGACATCCCAACTATGGCAATGTTTTCTAAACATTACACGGCGAACAATCGGCAAGATCCCATGTAGCGTGTATACTGAGTATATGGTAAATGTAATGACATGTATGTATTCATAGAAAAAATTATAATGACAAGTTGCATAATATTTTCATGTGAGAATGGCTACATAATCAGTTTCTGAACTAATTTTTTTTGTTCTCTCATTTTTAATAATCTATGCAAGCATCTAGCTAGGCTTCAAGCATAGTTATTAGTTATCACCGGCAAAAAAACGCCCGTGCTTACACGGCGAACACACCGCAATAAAAACACTTTACATAATTGATTTGTTTATGTTGTTATTGTCGTGGTATGTTTATTGTTCTTCTATTGAATTTCATTATCATCGTGTTCTTGAGTTCTATTTTTTCATGTATGCCACTTGAATTATTTAGCATGGTGTTGGAGCCTCATGGTATGCCTGTATTTTATTTCTACTTAAACTCCGCTCCATAATTTTTTTTTGCGACTAACTCCATTCAATAATTGGTTAAAATATTTATTTATTTCTGTCAGGTACCTCATCGTTATTGATAATATATGGTCTACAAAGGCATGGGACACTATTAAATGTGCTTTCCCGGAGAATAAATTTTCTAGCAGAATTATAGCAACTACACGCATCGTTGATGTAGCAAGGTCGTGTTGTCTCGGTGGTAATGACCGCATGTATGAAATGGAAGCTCTAAGTGATGTTCACTCCAAAAAATTGTTTTTCAAGAGAACATTTGGATCTAAGGACAGTTGCCCGGAAGGGCTAAAACGAGTGTCAAATGAAATATTGAAAAAATGTGGAGGCCTACCACTAGCAATCATCAGTATTTCAAGTTTATTGGCAAACAAACCATCCCTCAAAGACGAGTGGGAGAAGGTCAGAAGGTCAATTGGTTCTGTGTTGGACAAGAATAGAAGCTTGAGGGCATGAATAGCATCCTATGCCTTAGCTACAACGATCTTCCACCTAATCTGAAGACCTGTTTATTATATCTAAGTATATTTCCTGAAGATTATGTGATTGAGAGAGAGACTTTGGTGAGACGCTGGATAGCGGAGGGATTTATCTCTGAAGAGCGTGGACTTAGCAAACAAGAGGTCGCCGAGAACCACTTCTATGAGCTAATCAATAAAAGCATGGTCCAACCAGTGGACGTTGGCTATGATGGTAAGGCTCGGGCCTGTCAAGTCCATAACATGTTGCTTGAGCTCATTATTTCAAAATCAATTGAAGATAATTTCATCAGTGTGGTAGGCCACGGGCAAACTGATTTGGTAAATCGTGAAGGTTCTATTCGTCGACTATCAGTCCAACACATTGATAAGGAGCTTGTGTCTGTATTGGAAAATCAAGATCTAAGCCATGTCCGATCCCTAAGAGTAATAACATCAAGTTGCATCAAACACTTGCCTAGCCTTGTTAAGTTTGAAACTTTGCGTGTACTGGATTTTGAAGGTTGTCAGGGTCTGGAAGAGTATGATATGAATGGTATAGATAAACTATTCCAGCTAAAGTACTTGAGCCTTAGGGGAACTAATGTGTCAGGGATCCCCCCAGGAATTGTGAGGCTTTATAATCTAGAGACGCTAGATCTTAGAGATAGTTATTATATAGAAGAGTTGCCATCCAGAATTGTTCAGCTCACTAAACTACAATATCTACTCGTTACAAGATTTCATTTTCTTGGTGGTGGCCATATAAAGATACCCGATGGGATTGGAAACATGAGTAACCTGAGGATTATCACAGTCATCAATATTACCAAGAGTTCATTAGGTGCGGTGGCAGAGCTTGGGAACCTAACCAGTTTGAATGAATTGCATCTACAGCTAGACTTTATGGATAAGAGGCACGAAGAGATGTTACTCTTCTCACTATGCAAGCTTGGCAGCTACAAACTCCAGTCTTTATGGATAGTTTCACCTGATTCAACACCCCTCCAGTTTTTAGATTCTTGGTCCCCTCTGCCATCTTCCCTCCAGAGATTTCGGATGAACACTTACTACTATTTACCGAAGATTCCAAAATGGATCACACCAGCACTCGCCAGTCTGGCGTACCTAGACATTAATTTAGTAAAAGTAACGGAGGAGGATCTGGGCGTACTTGGAGAGATACCTGCCTTAATTTCTCTGCTGCTAATTTTCAAAACTGACCAGGAAGAAAGACTTACCATCAGAGGCCATGGATTCCCCTGTTTGAAGGAACTCTACATTCACCGTAATTCTCGTGCGACAAACCTGCTGTTTGAGGAAGGGGCGCTACCGAAGCTTGACCTGCCGTTCGTAGTTTCATGGGCAAAATCCAATGGGTTCTACTTAGGCATTAGCCACCTCCCATGCCTGAAACATGCTACAATCACTCTTCTTGCCTATGGTTGTGCCTCATCTTCAGAAAATAGGGCCGCAAGCAGCTGCCATAAGGAATGAAGCAAATGCCCACTCCAATGATCCGAGGCTAATTATCCTAGGAGAAATGGAAGAGGGCGAGGAAGACAGTGACACCAGTGAGGAAGAGTTTGAGAATGAGAATGACACCAACGAGGAAGGGAGCTAGACGACGATGGGAAAATGTTATCATCACGACATTTCATTACCTATGCAAGAGGTATCAGTCACAATTTCCTATTTGAAAATTACTCTGTTGCTTTCTGTACTAAATATGGAGTACATTTATATTCTTCATATCTAGTACGTAAAACATTTCTCGTGGCCTCATGTCCTGCTATTTTTGTTTGTTTAATTATTTAGGGGAACATCCATCAAAAGCGAGTGCAGGATGGTGTTCTGCTTGATTCATTGAATGTGATCGAGCCTGAATCTGCCATTCGTTTTACCTTTACCTTTCAGATGGTGCTCTGTTTTAACTATTGTATCGTTCAGTTTTCTGTGAGTCTTGTATCAAATTTTCTTGGATTGTTCACTACTCTTAAGAACCAAGCTCACCTCTAGGTGAAGTTTCGTGGTTGTGTATTTGAACTACTTGTGTGTAACTTAATTTGATGAACCATGGATTGAAGGACATATGCTGCAAGTTTGATGTCAGGTTTCAGAGATGTAAGGTTTTGTCACTGCCATACTCTGAACTGCTCTAGCGGTGTTCGGAGATGTATAAGTATACCGCATCTAATCAGCGGTGCATTTGGCTGTAATCCTCGCCGAATTGGTCGGTTGCTCTGTTCCTGCTCATCGTACATTAATTAACGAGTCGGCCATCGATCAGCTTGATCGAATCTTTTCGCTGTCTGTACCAAACACGCCGGACCTGGTCTGATTGCCTTGGACTGGGCTTGAGGGCAGAACCAGGACTGGACTTGTTCTGCAGCCGACACCGACGAGGACCGACCGTCGCTCCGTTTCCATAAACAAAATGAAATAAAATCATCTTGCGGCGATGGCCCGCTCACCCTGTGTGCGTATTATTTTCTCATGTAAAATGATAGTACGAGGACGAAGGAATGTAATGTAGGGATGTTTTCTGGAAGAATGACTTGTATGTCGGCTACTTTAGTGTTAAAAATGTTCTGGTCTAGAAAGAAAAGCAGGAACCTATATCCAGTAGCGACGTTTTCTGTATGACGATACGTACAGTATGTCGGCCAAGCGACACACGACCGCAGCGGTAAAGGCCGGGTAGCCGTCGTGATCCGTCCGCAGGCGCAAAACGCATGGTGGAAACGGCCGCTCCGCAACCCGCAGCCTAGTCACAGCCACCTCACCGGGCGACAGCAACGGGTGGAGGATACCGTCGGTACGGTACAGTGCAGCTCCGGCGCCGGCGGCAGACGACGCTTGGTGGGTCAGTTTCGCCAATTCGCCACCGGAACCGGAACCTGTGGTCTACTCTTACGGTAGGAGCAGTAAAGGGGAACCAGAGATTATCTGTGGCCAATCGATGTGGCGAGAAGGCGCGGTGGAGCGGCCGGTACCCGTTACGTACTTCATCATGCGTGGTAAGTACACCACATGCGGTGCGCGCGTTTCAGCAGGTACGTATGCACTGCGGCGACGGCTCCCCATCTCGTCGTGCACACTCTACGTACCACACACGTACGGCTAGTGTGTGTCCCTGCGTATGTCTTACTACTCTCTACTACCACACACTGTTTGCTTTATTACTTTTGCTTCATTATTCAAGATCGACTGGTACGTACGGCAGGCTAATCGTTCGGCGCTACTTTTCAGCAAACGAACGGTGTTTTTTTCTCACAATAAATCAGCACAAGTCAAATTTCAGCGAAACAAACAGGGCCACCACGCTAGCTAGGCATGCTGGCCATGTTAGTATCAGCGAACCACAAATCCTCCTCGTTCCTCGCCTACTGCCATCGTGATCGCGCCATAAAACGCTTCCGCGCGTACCCTCAGGTACCAACCACAATGACCGATTTTTTTTTTTAAATTTGGCTCTTTTTTGGTCAAAAATTCATGTTTACACCCCTGGACGACATAAACCCAACTTTGGATCCTTTTCTCAGCGCCATGACCTACGGCGCCGAGGTAACACGCCTCGGCGCCATTTGGAGGTTAGGAATTACATGACCAAAGCTCGGCGCCGTGAATCACTGCATTGAGCTCTGCGCTAAGAATCATGGCGCCGAGCTCTCATTTTAACCTTAATCTCTAAATTAACAAGACTTCAACCCTAATTTTACCATGAGATGGACACAGAGAATTTTTCCATATATCCATCTCATGTTACTCTCTAAATTAATATGACTTCAACTCATGATAATACGTGGTTGAGGTCAAAATTAGAGCTCGGCGCCGAGCTCGGCGTCGTAGATCATGGCGCCGTGAATCACTACACCGAGCTCTGGCCACGTCGACAACCACGTAATTCCTAGCCTCCAACCTCGGTGCCAGACATGTTACCTCGGCACCGTAGGTCATGGCGCCGAGAAAAGGGTCAAAAGTTGGGTTTACGCCACCTAGATGTGTAAACGTGAATTTTTGATAAAAAAAAGGGTTAAATTGCAAATAAAGAAAAAAAATCTGCCGCAAGGACGCCTACGGACTTAGTACACTTAGCTGCTTGCTCAAACTGCCGGCCGTATGAATAATCCCCCTACTGCCGAAACAAATACATTAAACAGAAAGGAAATAAAAATTATAGACCAGTTGATGCCATGCATCCCTGCTGGCACGATCATGCACACGTTCCCCAGAATCATCTGATGATTCTTTCGAGCTATCATCACCGCATGCACGCCGAATCATCTGAGATCGATCGACACCATCAATAATAATCACAACAAACCCATGACGAACAAGACGGGATATTTAATTTAAATTAAACTACTACACTTTATTATAATTATATATACACATTCATCGTCGTCGTCGATGCAAGCTGCAGTATGAATGTATGATTTGTTTGATACCTGAGCGCGCTAATAAAAATCGCTCGATGAGAATCGTATCGCCACCACCGGATCGGTTGCCGACTTCCCAGCGTCAATGCAAAACCGGTGGCCAATTAATCAGGCGAGCCGTCGGCCGTCGCTGTGCTGGGTCTTCCATTTCCAGCCAGTGATTTGCATTGGACCTGCTCTCGAGCCAACCACTTATCAGACCACACAAGGGAGACGGCCGAGACCGAGAGGTTTAGCGCTTGCTGTGTGTATAAGCTGATCGTCCAGACGTGGACACGCCACTGCCCCGGCCGCTGACACTGTTGTCAGGGGCAGATCCAGGGGGGCCTAGTGAGCCTGCTTTTTTCAATTGACTACGGTTATTTAGTCTCAAATCATCATTAATCTCTAGCTCTAGTGTTGGAGAGCAATACTAGGGTATCCGAAGAGGAGTAGCTAATGACCATCAACATTGATTCATCCGAGCAGTCAAAAGTGCGACTACAGCTCCAACCGACCCCAGGCGCACAAGCTCCGCCTCACCCTACCTCTGGGGGCGGGCTCTGCCTCGTCCGATCCCGAGGCCGCAGGCTCCGCCTCTTCCGACCCCAGGCGCACAAGCTCCGACTCGCCCTACCTCTGGGGGCGGGCTACGCCTCGTCCGACCCCGAGGCCGCAGGCTCCGCCTCGCGCCAACCCTTGGGGGCGGGCTCCGCCTCGCCTGACCCCGAGGTCGCGGGCTCCATCTCGCCCGACGGAGACTCATACTGCTACCAACCCTCCAGGTCCAATCGTATGGGTCTGGGTCAAAACTCTGACACCAAGGAAGAGACCGGCACGCCCCAATGTAACCCGTGGCCACGACAGGCCATACCAAAGGATTCACATCAGGAACAGCGTCGGACGTACCGGTGTTCTTATGCCTAACCCCCGAACAAACGCTGACAGGCGCGTCAGCTCACCACGACGTCCGCTGCGACGAAATGGAACGCTATGACCGGCAGACGACGCCTGCGCGTGGCACCAGTGACGGACAGGACCGCGACGTGGAGCTGCCCCTGTTGATATCTACAGGGTCGACGGGACCCGTATGAAGGAGAAGAAGGACCTAGTGATCCTAAATGACTTCTTCTCTCTCTCATTCTTCTTTTTTCCTCTGCTGTAACCCGTGCTTTCCCTTGGCCTATAAAAGGCAAAGCAGGGCGTCCCATGGAAGGGGGGACCCATCGAGGACCGATCAGATTCAACCCCGAACCGATCAGATCTAGATATACACAAGAGCAGCAACCGAGCTCTCAGCACCCTTTCACTCCTTTCACTAGAGACTTGGGATCTGTCCCTCTCTCGCCTGTTTGTAACCCATACTACAAACTTTCAGTGCTAGTAATACGAACAGCAGTGACGAACTGGACGTAGGGACTTTCTGCCCGAACCAGTATAAATCTTGTGTTCTCTTAGCACACCATCCGAGCTAGACGCACAATAATACAAATTTACTCGCCGGTGGTAACTCGAAACACCAACAGTTGGCGCGCCAGGTAGGGGCCTTTTGCACGTCTCGACGTCCACTTCAGGTTTCGGATGGCCAGTCACGGTGTCAGCTGGGTCCCAGGCGCGCACGTGCGCTTCAGGGACCTAGACTTCATCGTCGCAACGAAGGGAGAGTTGGCGCAGGCTCCCGCCGCTGTCCAACCACTCCACTCCAATGGCCTCGACATGATCGCCGAGGCGCTTGAGGAGCTGCAGCTGCATGCACCGGAGGCCCGCGCCCCCGGGAGCGACCAGCTCCTCGGCTTCGACTACGGGAGGTTAGAGCGCCAGCTCAACGCCTTCCTGGGACCCCGACCGTCCTGGAAGGACCTATGCCACCTCACCTTCTCGTTCTCCAATGTCATGGCATAGCTTGCCGGAGGAGAGCCGCTCTCTCCGGAATACCTCATCCGGAGCGCCCCGACAGCGCTCTCGTCTAGTCTCCACAACGCCGTAGAGACCGTTGGCCACCTTGTGGCGCTACGCACTCCTCCATCCCCCACGAACGACGAGTTCATGGGGATGACCGAATATATCGTGGAATCTTTCCACGACCTCCTCGTAGGAGATTCGAAGTCGTCCTCCAGCTCTGACTCTAGCAGAGGGAGCCATCATCCCTTTCATGAATGTTTCATGGCAGGTACCCCCGAGGGACACGTCGAAAGCATCCACG